CTGGAGATCCTAATGGTACATTTTGGCTTCAAGGGTGTCACATGGTGCACTGTGCTTACAATAGCCTATGGATGGGAAATTTCATACAACCTGATTGGGACATGTTCCAATCTACTCATCCATGTGCTGAATTTCATGCTGCCTCCAGAGCCATCTCTGGAGGACCAATCTATGTTAGTGATTCTGTCGGAAAACACAACTTTCAGCTGCTTAAAAGACTAGTTTTGCCTGATGGTTCCATCCTAAGGTGTCAACACTATGCTCTACCCACCAGAGACTGCCTCTTCGAAGACCCTCTACATGATGGAAAAACTATGCTCAAAATTTGGAATCTTAACAAGGTAAGAATTTTGGATTAATTCTTTCGTCCTCCCTTTGAATTATGAACATTTTTGTACTGTCAATGAGGGTTAACCTTGTCTTCTAAATATACAGTAACAATAATGCTTCTCAACTGTGCTCATCAATTATTAACGTTTAGACATGCAGATTCCACACATACAATATATCATTCCCTTTGATTAGGAGTTCAATTCCTATCATTTTACTGTGGCTCTTGGATGGATTTTTACAGTTTACAGGAGTTCTTGGAGCATTTAACTGTCAAGGAGGGGGATGGTGCCCTGTAACTAGGAGAAACAAAAGTGCGAGCGAATTTTCAGTTCCTGTTACCTGTTTGGCAAGTCCTGAAGATATTGAATGGAGCAATGGAAGGAATCCAATTCCTCTAAAAGGGGTGGAACTCTTTGCAATCTATATGCAACGGGAGAAAAGGTTGAAGTTATTAAAGTTATCAGATAATATGGGAATCTCTCTGAAGCCATTTGAATACGAGCTCCTGATTGTTTCTCCTGTGACTGTCTTGACCAAAAAATTGGTCCAATTTGCTCCCATTGGACTGGTAAATATGCTCAATTCTGGTGGTGCTGTGGAGTCTCTGATATATGATGATGATGATGACAAAAGTTCAGTGAGTATAGGAGTCAGGGGAAGTGGAGAAATGAGAGTTTTTGCATCAGAGAAACCTATATCTTGCATGATTGATGGAATCGATGTGGAGTTCAGCTATAATGATCAAATGGTCATCATTCAAGTTCCATGGCCTAATTCATCAAGATTATCCATAGTTAAATACATATTCTGAAAACTAGTATTTGAAGTTTCTTGACTGAGATTCTTTTCTTTATATTGTGAATTTTTTAGAAGTCAAGATCATCAGATCGTGTTTGTCGAAAAAGTTAGCCTGGTGATTTGAACTGTTTTGAGCTGATCCAGGATGTAAAAAGATTTGTGTTCATGCACAGTCAAAAACTTATCTATAATCATGTGCGCATCTAAATTTTACTATATAACTCTGGATTGGATTGACCCAAGCTCGAACTGTTGTACCCAAGAAATAATGGTTTCAACAAGCAACATAAATGGGTTGACATGGATGCAGGCCTAATATGTACGTCTGAAATTAAAATGTTGCGAACTTGTAGATAATACAAAGCCATGCCCAATAAAAGCCCAGCCCACATCTCTTCATTTAGTTTTAAAAATTGTACAGTTTTTTTTTTTTAATGGTTAGCAAAAAAAGCTAAACAAGTGACCCATAATAATCACAGTAGTTGGAGCATCATTCCTTGATAGATATTAATATCAAAAGATTCATCAATCATCCATAGATATCTTATTTGAAGTTAGATTTCTTGATTGTTATTTGAACTTCTGATAGACCTTCTGTACTCCCCCCCCCCCCTTTTTTCTGCTTTGTGCAATGGAAAAATTTAAGTATCATGGTTTCTTTACATGGTTGTGATGTTACTCAATGTCGGCATGCCTTTTGACACTCGACTCAAAATTTGGAGAATCTTCAATTTTGTAAGATTAGTCCATTCAAGAAATTTGTTGCATCAAAATCATGGCTCATGAGGTGAACAAGGCAGGCTATGTACATGGATTATATGGTAGAAATGAAGCTGGAGAGGCTGTGAAAAATGGATGGTAGACTTGTACAGTGTTGTAGATATTCTGGGGATTGGGATAGGTACTATTGATTTTAGTATGATTGTGTACAATTATTGTACTTCTTCGAAAATTTGGTATACATTTACAGACAAAAAAGTTGTATTTATATATTTAAGTTAGTATTGTACGGATAGAATTTAGACGTGCAATAAAATTATGCGATGGCATACCAAATTATGTAAGAAATACAACAGTACCAAAATTCTGAAGAGTTTTTTTTTTCTCAAAATTCTATTTAAGTAATTTTTCCTTCTTTTTATTTTTCTCGTTGATTGTTATGGTTAAGATGTATAATTCTATATGTATGCATGCGCATAAAATTTGAATTATTCAACGCCAACTCAACGTTTTAAGTTTAGGTAAACGACAATAAACACTTCCACCATTAAATAAACTCTCTTAATAGAACAATTTGAAGCTATCAAATTGCATCATTTCACATCAATTATTAAAATGATTTCTCGACTCGAGTACATGTAGAAACCTCAGGAGAGGTAACTGTGAAACCTCAACATGAATTCTATACCATAATTACATTTGATGTTATTGTTGATTAAAGAGGAAATAGATACCACAATGACTCATAACTTTGCTTGCTTGAAATTTTCTCCACCATCTTTTATTGCTATTGACCCTTTCTTTTATTTCTTTTGTCAAATGTTCTCTTATCTAAAATGTTTAACCAAAATGTGTTAAACCAACAACTGAATCCATTCCATGATATGTTAAACCAAAAAGCAAATAACCAAATGGTATAGACCAAAAACATAAATGAGATGAATAAATATAAATTATATCAGCAAAGCAAGTTGATATTTTGAATTTCAAGAGCCATCAAAAAATTAAGAAATCCATCATTGTAAGCATCATCACTAATAGTTTGTAACTTTTTTATTATTCAAGAAGAGAATCGAAGACTCATAGTGGGAAAGAGGGAATAGTGAGGGCTTGAAGTCGAATCTGAAACTTCATGTTCACCTAGTCAATGCTCCTATGAAACATGTGCATCGACTAGGTGACTAGGGGGAAAGGGGAATAGGGGGAAGAGGGAACAGGAAGGCTTGAAGTCGAATCTAAAACTTCATGATCACCTAGTCAATGTCCCTACTAATTAATCTGAATCTTGTAGACTAATTATCTGTATTTGACTACTACCATAATGTGGTAGATCATACTGGCCTTGTCTGTAGTAGTAACGAATAGGTAGATCATAAACTAAGTTGGTGGTTGGTTTTGAATTAACTAATGACTTGTATTTGGTGGAGCAGAAATTTCTTCACACTAGCCTATTCGACAAGGCTCAAGTGCTATCATATGTTAGTTCTATGTAACTCCATATCTGCCATGTAAGAATACATTCAAATGCTTTGTAGCTCTATCCAATTCATTTTGTATATAATAGGTGATAGCACATCCAAGTAGAAGCCAGAAAATGCTGCATATACCACAACGTCGAGAGCTGAATCATTTAAAAATATGTCTCTCCATCTTGAAATATTTAATGTCAGAAATGTTACGACGGAGCAAAATTGTTAGGTGCACAGCCATCCTTAACTGAAATCAGAAATCTGTTGCATGCACATCAGCAGATTGATCAAATAAAATCAGTTCAAATCTCAAAAATGAAACAGAATAATGTAAAAATAGAGTTTACAGCATCAAGAGTTGAAATGCTCAGTTTAGCAAAAGAAAGTGAAATCAACCTGCCAAACTAGTGAATGACATCTTATTGGTTTGCCCTCCGTTTATTAGGTACTGATTGACTAGCCTCCAACGTAAGTACCAAAATAGTTTGAAGCATATCCTGCAACATCTTCACCTTGCAAATGCTCCAATCTGAAAAGGCAAATATTGAAATAAAGGGAAGGGAAATCACCAAAAGAACAAGAAGAAAATCGAACAAGAATAGCAAATATAAAAGATATCAACACTGATATGATCAAGTCAGTATCTCATTAAAGGCCAAAATCTATTCAACCAGATGCAAATTTGGGCCGAACTTCATCACCTAAACAAATTCATAGTTCCAAAATTAGAGTTAAAACATTTGTCTTGCATGCTGAATCGAAGGATTTTATACCTCACAGTGATTCAACTATAACATCAAGAGACACTAAGAATAATACTAAATTGTAGAAGTAAACGCAATATTGCAGCCAAAGTTTGGGAAGCTCAAGTATTTTGTGTTCTTTAGAAGTCAAAATAGAAGAAGATCATAGGACTGCATGCATGAACAGAAAATATTCAATCAATCTTGAACAGCTTGGTACTTGGTTTAAGCATGCACGCAGTTGCACGTCCTAAAAGACTTATTTAAACTAGTGGCTTAGGTCCACCAAATCCATCAGCTGATCAAGAAAGAAGATTGAAAAATATAAAACAGATCCTTTCTGTAATTATAGCAGCAAAAAAAAATGATAATGGAGACCAAAAAGAATGCAGAAATACCAAATAAAATGATTGATCCAGAAACTGGAATGGTGAAAGTTAAAATTCAAGACAGAGCTCAAATTATTCAACACTCTCTCTTTGTTTCCCAGCTTTTTTTTCCATTTGTCTGCAAAGCAGCAAGTGTGAGCATTCGGCGTTACTTTTTACTTGACACTGGCCAAAAAAAGAATCCAATAACCCCTATTTATGCACCATGCAATTGGCAATAATTGTTTCCCCATTAAGGATACATTATTTCACTTCCTCATCTTTTGACTTCAATCAGGTTATGAGGTTCTTTTGGATTTTTAATTCAATGTTCTCTTTTTCAGAATTCTTTTGTTCAATAAAACCAGAAGGTACTGCATAAGTTCCAGTACACATATATGTCAATAATTGAAATTTGCACAAAAGCCTACTCCAGCTGGAAATCCAATAACCAAATAGCCACCCGGGTAATCACTAAGTTTTATGATAATCTAAATGAAATGTAATTCACATAATTAATAAATTTGTAAGCTTTTAACTTCATTACCATCAATTTTCAACTGAAACCCTCAAAATGATGTTGCTCTCCATTTCTGACTGTAGAAAGTAGGCGAGACAAGGCTCTCGAGAAAGCAGCCAACATCTCTGAAAGCATCTCTATTAATGCCAGCAACCAACATTTCCCTTGTAGTTCCATCTCTCAAATTATGAACAACAAGGTTCTGACCATTCTTGTCCAAAACAACATCATCCTCCCCCAATAGACAAATAGGTTTATAATAATGTCCAACAAGTTTTGGTATAATAACTCCAAATTTGGTCCAAGATTCTGCAACACCATAATCCTTCATCATCCAAATATCCATCTGCTGACTAGATTGCTCCACAACCATTGCTAGACATCCACCAAGAACTAAAAGCTGCTTAGAAGACGCCAATGAACCCCAATTGCGAGTGCTACAACCAGTACTAGGCCATGGCACTTGCTTAAATTCCTCGGTACTCAAATCCAAAGCGGCTATAACCTGCGATTCATCAACTTTAGACTGAGCAAGCCAATGCACAGAACAGTTCAGACACACCCCAGAATGAGTAGTAGGAGCGTAAGGACAATTATAAAGTCTCCTGCAAGTCCCATTCCTCAAACTGAAAACAATAACAAAATTTTCAGAACGCCTAATAGTTGTACCCCCATAAGACCAGATGATTTTATAGTCATCATTAAAACTATCATAACCGAAAGCAACCCCTGCATTCCCAACCACCAAATTAAAAGGGCCCTTTGGTAATCTTAAATGCTCCATGGTTGTGGGGTTTACCAAATACATGGTATCAAGTGCTAGTAAATGTTTGCTGCTAAATTCACGCCTTCTCAATCCATCATTTGCTACCAATACCAACCCATTGCAAGAAACAATTCTCGCGCTGCTCAATGGGTTCTCTAAAAGAGGGTTGAGCTTTTCTGAAATCCTGACGTAATTGTTAGGGGTGGGAAAAGTTGCGGTGGAAAAATAGGTCGTGAAGTACTTGAAAGCGGGAGTACCGGAGGAGGAGTAAAGGATGATGAGTTTTTCCTGGTCATCGAGGTGGAAGGCAAGGTGGGCTTTGATGAATAGTGGGTCGTAGAGTAGAGAGTGCCATGGCTTCGAAACGAGCCTGAATTTGCCGATGGATTTTGTAGGGAGTCGTAACAGGATGTCAATAATGAGTTCTTGGGGCAGGGGAAATGTCGGGGCTAGGTCAGCCGTGGCCACCGGCATCTGGGTTTGATCGAACTTTTCTAGGGACATAGATTAACAGATAGGGCGGGTGGTGCTGGTGGTGGCGACGGTGGCGGTGGCGGTGGCGCTGCTGGCGGTTGTGGCGTTGTTTTGAGAATTGGCGAACGTGTGGGCTGACAGGCACTAAAATAGGTGCAAATCCGGTCGAATGTTGGTCAAATTCGGAAAAAAAAAATCCATATTACATTTCTCCAATTGCTTAAAGCATATAAAAAAATTTAAATTAAATTGATTAAATTTTACAGCTTTCATTATAGTTTTGATCAATTTTGCACTACCAAAATATTCTATGCAAGTTAAGTGACAAAACATTCTGTTATGGCCTGGAATCAGTCCAAATTGTCATGCACAATTGACTGGGATGACTCAGCAAAGGAGTAGCACCAGAAATGTGATAGCATGAAGAGTCACGAGGATAGCAACTGATATAACAGAATGAAGAGTAGTTATTTGGCGGGAAAAGTAGTTAGTACTAGCAGGCTGTGTCTTGAGCTCAAAGCTAAGAATTGTATAAGTAATTCATCTGCATTGAAGGCAGGACGTGTAATACGTTGTTCCAGATTTCTTTCCTAATCAATTCAAACCTTTCTTTTCCCTCTCTTTTCCCTCTCCCTTAATTCAGATCTCATTCTCAATTCTTCCTCTCTCTTTCCCTTCCCTATCTCAGATATCTTCAATTCAATTAGTTCGAATTATTACACATTCGTAGATGAGTCCGATTTGAAACAAAATTCTCTTCAATTAACTGGGAGGAGCCTTACAATGTGAGCAATTTTAAATGACTGTGTGATTTTCAAACCATCATGATAGTTTTATGGTCAAATTCGAGTGTGTCTTTTTATGTTGCTCATGACATAGATGAATAATTTTTGTTGGTTACAGGAATATTAATATGTCCTATCTGTCAAGAAAAAAAATAAAAAAAGAACAAGTAAGAATTTCTAATACTGTTTTTACCCTCCACTGAATTTATTTTTCATTTATATTGTATACATTGTTAGCGTTGGATAAATGATAATTATGTAAAATTTGAATTTGAAATCGAACTTTTACACATATGTCAAGAACCTAACGATAATAGTATATATACTATCCGTGTATATAAAATTTACTCTATTATTTATTACAAAGCCGAAAAGAAAAAGCTCTTAAGCTTGCAGGAAGACGAGGGATAAGCGTATGTAAAATGTTTGTGCATGAATTATTGATGAAAGGGAAATTTAACAACAAAAGATCTACTCATAACTTTGCATGTTTAAGGTTGTTTCCACCATCTACGGCATTTGCTGACATATTGCATCGAACTGTAACCTTTGATGTTGCTAATAAAGATTTGTTCGCAGAATTTGAGGAATCAATCTTCCAGAACCGCACTTCCCATACCTGCCAAGCAGTACCAGAAATGAATACATAAAAAAAAAAAAGCCTTTTAAGATTTTTCCATGATTATGATTGCTCCCCCTAAATATAATCAATGAGAATGGATGTGTGATTGTAATTAGGATGAATTTGTAGTTATTCTTAGTGGGATATAGTAAAATTCTGGTAATTTTATACTTAGGATAATAAAAGAACCACGTTCGTGTCATTGGCCGGCTCTAATACACTACTGAGAGGTATTGTTAAGTTCTTTGAGAATATAAACAAATAAATGGATAATCGCACCCAAAATAAATAAATAAATAAATAGACAATCACGAGCAGCAATTTGACTATGTGTTGGAAAAATGACAAACAAATAAATTCAAGGCACAATAATAATGAAGGCAAAATTGAGCTAAAAATGATGGCCAATGGTCTTTTTACTAGAAGATTTACTTCAGTTTTATTCCTCAAAAATCTCACACTGCAAGTAGTCTTAGCATCACATACATGTGCTTTTGTGTGTGTGTCTATATATATATATATATATAGAGAGAGAGAGAGAGAGAGAGAGAGAGGGATGGAGGAAGAAAGGCGATCTATCTCTTAAGTCACCTACGAGTCTATGCAGATTGCAAATTTTTGGAGTTTTTATAAAAGAATACACTGTAACAATATAGTGTATATGAAATAAAAAAAACGATTGAAAAATGTGTCAAGCGAAATTTTCTGAAAAAATTCAGAATCCAAAGAAGGTTAAGTACAAGAAAAAACATGCACCAACTTGCTAGCTAGCTTAATTAGTATTAAAGAAAGCTTACAACCGAGTCACTATTAATCAAGCATGAGTCGTCTCGACGTCTGATGACCAAAAAAAAACCCAACCAATTACATAATCACAACTAATAGTCAACATTTAACACTACTTGTAAATCACAATAGATACGCTATCATTTAGAAAATAAAACTTGGAACCGACTTCAATTAATCAAATGGCTTGGTTTAATATTTTGCTAACACATTAATTAATGCAAACAAGTTTTACCAAGTATTGTTGTAGTTTACCCCACAAACTCCTAATGCTAACTTGAGTTTCACGCCTCAATTTTCCGGAGTGGCCAAGTATAGATAATGCGTAAAAAAAAAGTGAAATGTTTCTTGGGAAAACATTTTCAGCTAAAAAAAAATCAAATTCTAAAAATTTTAGCTTTAAAAATTTGTCTTATTTTTTTTAATAATTTGGAATTTTATGTCATATAATATTGCTAGGATTCATGATATGAGCTGGAAGATACTGTAACACTAAATATGTACCTCGAATCATACGTAACGTTAAATTATAATTCCTCATTTTATGACATGTAACTTTTGAATATGTCACGAGACTTTTCGAGTTTTAATTTAAAAATCAAACTACAGAAATGGGAAGAAAACTGAATGAATTTTTAGCAAAAGATATCAACTTTCTCTTCATTGTGAAGTGGAGATAAAACAGAGGAAGGTTAAATACCTGGGGAAAAAGTAAAATTAAGTAAAGCCAAACTGAGCCATAGAAAAGCTAAAATCAAACAAAATTATAATCTATTTTTCTGATCTCAAAAGAAAAGAGCAAATTTTCTTTCCTCTAGTTTTCTTCTTTTTTCCTCTCATATCTTATGTTTAACTTATCTATTCTTTTTCAACAAATTTCAAATTGTAAGAGTAAATTTTTCCTATATTTAGTTAATTTATCAAATTTTAAGAGTTGACTTTTCAGCAAATAATCTATAACAGGACAAAATGATCAATTATTATCATTGTTAAAATGATTGTTGTGTTTTTAGTTTAAAAAAGAAAAGTGCATTTCAAAGGAAAAATAGTATATGTAGCACCTGAATAGTGGTGCCAGCATTGAGAGGAGTGGCCTCAGCATGCACAATATCGCCAACTTGTGCACTCTTGAGATGGTTAATGCTGAGTTGTATTCCGGCGGCTCTCCGCCTCCCGGAGGCCAAGTAGGCTCCTCTGCTCCCCAGATCCTCAGCTATCAGTGCTGAAACTCCACCATGCAACACCATGAATGGCTGTTCAATACAATTATTAAATACCATTAGTTGCACAATTTTTCTTTCGTTTTTCAAGAACCCATTTATTAAAAAAAAAACAGAGAAACTTATTGAATCAAGTGTAGATCATATACGTTAAAGATTAATGGTAATGACAATTGTTAGAGCTAATTTATCTACTCTTTAAGAATTAATTACCTGACAACACTTGGGTGTCACTTGAAACCAACCACTGACTTTTTCCGGCGAGACATGTTCATCTTTAAATCCAAATACTCCAAGTGGACCGCCTGAGTCATCATTTTCCGATGCTTTTGATGCCGACGATAGTGGTGGCGGTGGCGGCTGAGGCTTTGGCAAAACCATCGGTGTCTTCCTTCTCTTGTCAGACTAGTAAGATCAACTCTAATGATGCGGGCTTAAGTATTAATATCATACATCAAATGAAGTATTAATAGATGAAGACAAGTAGAATTAATTATTCAAAGTTGAATATTAAACTAAGGTATTATCAATGAAAGTTCAACTGATGTCGATTATTCAAATGTTAACTGCTAAAGTACTATTGTTTTGTGACAATTGCGTTTCAAGTTCAAGTTTCAACCTCTTTTGCCTTGTAGTTATCTCAAGGAAATCCCCCTACCACAAAAATATTGGAACTGAATTTTTTTTTTTTTTTTTACAAGGGAACCCACAGCCGCTATTCGAGAATGTGCATTGAATAAATCCCACTCTGTGCAATGACCAGCCAACCACACAAATGGATAAAACGCACTAGGCAAGTCCTGTGCGAAACTCAGATATCCTAAGAGAAATTCGAAATTCGAACCCGAATTAGCAGAAAGGCTTGATACTAACGCTACCATTTCGGTCAACTCAAGGGACTTGGAACGAGTTAATATCTAAAACAAACTATTATACACTCATAAATAAATTTACCCTTCAAAGAAGTTCCAATGGTACTTCATTATATTAATGTATACATACACACACATACACGCATACAGATAAAAAGACAACATGAAAAATAGCCGATGTTTCCATGTGTGCTTGTGTGTGTGCATGCTTTGCGCCACTAGACAACTAGACTTTTTTTTTTTTGTTTGGTCAAAAGTTCTCTCTTCCATTACGTTTGACCAAAATGTTTTTTAAGGAACAACTGAATTTATTTACTAATATGGACAACCAAAGGGTCTGAATTTATTTTTCATATTGTCTTCTTATCGGTATATGTGTATGTATGTATGTGTGCATCTATATATATATTTGTCTGTATGCATATATACAGACATACATACACTGATACAAATAAGAAGACAACGTGAAAAATAGTGGATGCTTTTGTGTGTGCTTGTGGATGTATGCTTTGTGCCAGTAGACAACTAGACAATTTATTTTTTGGTCAAAAGTTCTCTCTTCTATTACGCTTAACCAAAATGTATTTAAGGAACAGCTGAATTTATTTACTAATATGGACGACCAAAGGGCCTGAATCTAAAATATCAAATGGTGTTGACCAAAGCATAAATGTGATGAATATATTTCGGCCTTTAAATTGAAGCAATAAAAAAAAAGAGATTATTTTAACAAATTCATTAGTTTATTGGTGGCCCAGTTGGTTTGTCAAAGTTTTTGAAGAGGAATTCGATCATCGTAATTCGTAAGCGTCATAGCCTGTATAGATCTAACTACTATCCTAGAGTTACTTTATTTCGAAGATCAGTTGGAGAAATATTTTCCTGGATCCTAGTTCCTTGTCTATGAGAATCTCAAGAAACTTTTGCATTTTATGCAGGCATTGGGAGTGAGAATATTTGGATTGCAGTACATGTTATTGAAAATGGGTCTGCTGACGAGTACCCACTGAGTAGTACGCGTTAAGATAGTATTAAGGAGTTTATTTTTTAAATAAATTAAATTAAATTAAATTAAATGGTGAAATTGTATAAATATAAGATAGAAAAATAATTATTAGTATATATATATTCACATGATAGGTTGAGTATAATTTAAGCGTGCTAATAAATGTTGACTAGACATATCAACCAGAAAAAATTCTTGGAAAATTAGGGGCAAATTGTTGTATCATTCCCACGAACATTCAGAAAGATAATGAATGTCAATGGGAAAAAGTGCTAGGATTACCTTCTTCCAAAAAAAACAAAAGCCTTCCAGTAGTTCAGGATAAATCACCAATAATTTCCTTCTGGTTTAGGCATCGTAATTATAAATCACTTGTGGTTTTATAACTACATTTTATTCCCTTGTGCTTTGGAATTAAAACTTAAGCTCAATAGAAAAAACATAATTTTGAGTTTATGGGAGCCAAATTAATGTTGTAATGCATCTTGAAAACCAATAAAATGGTACTGAAAACATAAATGTGATTTTTCGGCGTTGTTGAATTGATTTCAAGGAGAAAAATATTTTAATCTTGATCATTAGAAATATTTTGCTTTTTAATAACATGTTTCACATTGCTGACAAGCTGTAATGACAATTTCTATATTGTGATTTCACAAAAAAATCATTTATTTTACCCTTTATCAGTAGTTAGGGAAGAGCCATTAGAGTTTTCCTACTGTCAGGTTTAGAATTTGAATCTTGTGCCTGCCAATTGGGGGTGGGAAAGATGCAGGGAAGTGGAAGGGCAAAAAGGCAAAAAAAATAAGCCCTTTGATTTACCTTTAGTTTATCTTTTAATCCATAGCGCAAGGAGGTTAGTACTAAGAAGGCATTACAACCATGGTGCAAATGGTACTCTTTTTCTATCCAAATTGAATTTCAAAATATATACTACTCCCTCGGTGTCATAAAATTTGTCATGTTTGTCACTATTTATTGTTCTAAATTAATTGTCATCTTAGAGAAACCAACATACTTTTTTCAATGAAATTTTATTTTTACCTTTTATATGGCCCACCACTTATTCCTCACAATTATCAATACATCGAACAAAATTCTTTTTCCTACTAAGATCACTATACATAAATTGCACGTTCTACCAAAAATGATAAATTTTGTAGGATGGAGGGAGTACTAAGTTGATCTATATTAATTGCTGAAAGAGCTAACTCTGTTTTCACTGCAACTTTGGCTACCAATTTGATCCATGCAACTAAGAATATGGGCTAAAATTATATCTTTTCTCTTCTATGTTATATTTGTTAAATATCGAGTGTCATATATTGGAAGGATTTTCAAGTAGTTCCTTTGTTGTTTTACCTGCAGTAAATCCGACAAGTGGAAAACTGGTCTAATTGACCAATTAATATTCGAAAATTATGTTCACAATCCAAAACAGGTAGAATGAAACAGAAAGACGTTATTAAATAGCCAAAAGAAAAAATTCTTCATAACAAAGCCAAAAAAAAAAGAAAAGAAAAGAAAGGGATAAGCATTAAAACTGAATTCTCCTGCATGGGTTGTTGATAAAAGGGAACTATAACACCAAAAAAAAAAGCCTTATAGCTTTGCCTGCTTTACATTGTTCTGACCATCTTTGGCATTTCCTGACATATTGCATAGAACTGTAACACTTGATGATGCTAATAAAGATTTGTTCCCAGAACTTGTGGAGTCAATCTTCCAGAACCGCACTTCCCATGCCTGCCAAGGAATTAACCAATTCATAAAATCTTTTCATAAGCTTGATTGACCCAAAGTATAATTGATGAGAATAGATATGTGATTGTAACTAGGATGAATTTCTGGCTATTCTTAGTGAAATAAAGTGGAATTATGCTAATTGCCTTCCTGGAAGTATAAAAGAAGCAAATTCCATGTTATTGGAGAACCATCACCCTACCAAAACTTGTATGCTTGTTAAGTTCTCTGCGCATACAAGGATTTATAGAAGTGAGTTTGCTGAAAGCATGAAATGAGTAAGGGCAAACGATCCAAACAGTCGTTCAACTTTTTTGCACTAAACTACTTTAATTAAGCATAATGTTAGGATTAATCTTTCCTACACTGACAGTGTGTACACTATCAACGTTGGATGAATGATAATTATGCAAATTTTGAATTTGAAATTCAACTTTTGTACACATGTCATGAACCCAACGATGATATTGTATACACCGTCAGTGTAAGAAAGATTTACCCATGATGTTATCCCTTGAATGTTGTCATAATGCCAATTTCGTCCGTCCACTTAAAATTGGGACAATTAATTATATCCCTTAATTTTTGTCAATTTGGTTTGTTAACTCATTGCATATAAAAAGATAGATAAAAATTTACATAAATTCACATTAAGAAGGCAAAAATGCATGCAAAAAATTTTGCCCAACTAAATTGCTTACAATACATCTGACTCCTTCGAATTCTCAAGACTAATTCGGGCCCTTAATTTCTACTGTAGGATAGTATACGATTAATGTATGAAATGTATGAAAGGTCATTAATTTCTAATGTACCATTTGAAATGTATGAAATGGGCCCTCTTCCTCGATCTGTATTTTTTGCATGTTTCTATACTCTTTTTTTTTTTTTTTTTTTTTTTTTTGCTTTTTTGCCTATTTAAAGACTTGGATTAGCCTACATGAATTAATGACCTTACTCATGTTTAAAAAGTCGGAGAACAAATTGAGTCAATAATAGAAGTTGATGGTTGACATTATGCCAACTAAAATGGAGGGATTAAATTGGCTCAATAATAAAAATGAAGCAACAACACTCTTCCAAAATAAAGTCGGAGGACCAACAACAGTGATAATGGATTGCTCATTTGTAATACTTCTAAAAGATTTTCAGCAAAAGGAATAAAATTTAAAAGAATTTGGTTTAAAAAGTCCTCGTTTGTCTTAATTTTTTTTCTTTTAAAGACTGAAATGTTACGTTATATGACATCATTGCCCTGTATCTACAAGGGAGGGTAAGTATATAAATGTAAGGAAGAATAATTATAATTGTTCGTATATGTATATACATGATAAATTAGGCAACTATTAGGTGTGTTAACCAATATGGTTAAACTCAGATCGGATAGCAACCCGTCTAATTTACTGGGTCGGGGGTCAACTGGTCAGATCGGTAGGATCGTTTTAAAAAACCTCTGACGTTAACATGATATTATAATTATTTTATATTTTTATAAGTTTCAGAAATATTAAAATAAGTTATTGGTTATATTTGGCCAATCATGAAAAATGTTCCAAAAATATTATACTTACAATCAAATATACACTTAATAATTACAGATAAAAATGTAAATTCATGGTTAAAATATATCCGTTTTCCAAAACTACTTAAGAAACTAAATTAAAATAAATTAATGCAAGTTGGAATCACCGATGCTAAATTAATGAGATCATAGAGATGAAAACATCTTGATTTAGAGATCATTTAGGAAAGCGAGTAATTTTAATATTTATACTAAATGGATGACGTTTTTTATTCCTATTAATAAATGAAAGTGTTAAAATTTAGATAATTCAAATTATATATATTTGGAGAAAAGAAAAAAGAAAAGTTTGAGAACCGGATCAACCAGACAAATCGAGTTATTGGTTCAGCTGATCTTTTATGGTTTGATTGGTTTTTTACCAAAGCTTCAAAAAAAAAAAAAAAAAAATCGGTTCACGATTGGACCGATCATACCAGCTGATCCGATCTGAACCTAACAACACTAATGTTAACAAGTGTTCAACAGAGACTCGTTAGAAAAACCTTATATATAATTGGGAAACTCTTGTACACCCTCGGGCAATCTCCTCCATGTATCATCCTTGTGATTTAAATTGATTGCCTCTACTCGTCGATGTCTAAGATTCACGTATATCCACTTTGTCTCCATTGTGAAATGGAAAGAAAACAAGGGAAGGTTATAGAGAATTTGATATACGTGAGGAGAAAAAAGTAAAATTTTAAGCAGTGCCAAATTTTAGCTGACGAAAAGCAAAACAAAGAAAGTGTAATTTGAGGCTGTTCTTGCTTATCTCAAAACCGAAGTGCAATTTTATTTTCATTACTTTAAATTTTATATTATTTAACTTTCTCATTGCTTATGTTTCCTTATATTTTTTTTTTCTCACATTGACAACTAATTTCATGTCCTTTAAACCTGAATATGCTAAGACATTGGCTCCCATATTCAGTTAATTTGTCAAATCGTAAGAGCTAAACTTTTTCAACAATTGCACATATTCACTTTGGCTCCCATATTCACTTTTGACTAGTTTTTCAACAATTGAACATTAATTAATATTGGTTTGAGGCAGAATAGTGCATTTCAGACCAAAGTTTTTTTTTTATCTAGCAAAAGTTTCTAGAATAGTATTGTAGTACTCTTTTGAAATTTGATGTATATAACATAAAGGTTATGGATTTTAATACCTCTGTCCCCTCTCTACTTCGTAAATCTCACATCTTCCTTACTAGAATTTTTTTTAAAAAAAATTTGATGCATATGAATGAAAATGGTAATTATAAAAAATTAAAAAATATGTTTATCATACAACCTAAAAAGTTAATTTTTTTTAAAATTTTTACTATCCAAACAAACCGACGTACTTGAATGGTGGTGCCAGGATTGAGAGGAGTGGCCTCAGCTTGCACAATGTCACCCACTTGTGCTCTCTTGAGATGGCTAATGCAGACTTCTATTCCGGTTACCTTTCGCCTACCGGAGGCTAAGTAGACTCCCATGCTGCCTAAATCCTCAGCTATGAGTGCTGACACCCCACCATGCAATGTCCCAATTGGCTGTTCAGTCCAATGATCAACCATCATTAATTTCACAATGATTTCCTTTTTCATTTTTTTGATGAATTTATTTGGGAAAAAATGAAGAAAACTACGTCATGTACCTCGATGATTAATGGCAACGATGATTATTAGAATTAATTTATTTAGAGTTAATAACTAATTACCTGACAACACTTAGGTGTCACCTGAAATCTGCCACTAACTTTATCTGCCGAAGCATGTTCAAGCTTAAATCCAAATGGTCCAAGCGGATTACTTGAGAATGTTTGATGTTCCTGATCCTGGTGCCAGTGAGGGTGGCGGTGGCAGTCACGGTCGTGATTGTGGTTGCAGTGGTGGGGATTTTGGCATAACCATTGGTGTCTTCCTCCAACCACCAGTTTTGGGTTGGTGACCACCACCAATGCATTAAAGTTTGGTGAGGTGGAAGGTAAGGGTTCACATTAAAAAATGATTCTGCTTAAAAAATTTAGACAGTCTAGTGGTGATTCAATCCCCTTCGAGTTACCTTTGGATCTATTCAGATTCTTCTCCTCTCCTAATATAGAATAATCTATCGTATCGACCACAAAAAAATTGATGTCTTCCTCCTCTTATCAGACTGATAAAATTAACTCTAATCATTTGGGCTTAAGTAGTAATCTTTGAGATACTAAACCTAGGAACTATTAGACGAAAGTCAATTGGTATGAATTATTCAAACATTAATTGCTAATTGGACTACAAATGCTGCCTCCTTTTTAATATAGCCTAAAGAAAATGTCGTAGATGGCCAGATGGATTAAACTCTCGGGTGTTATTAATGAAAGTGAACTAGAATTAATTAATTATTCAAACGTACTTGACTGCTATTTTTCTGTTTTACCATCCAAAAAAAAAGGGTTGTATCTTGTATATGCATAGATTGATTATCATCTATTTATATGATATCTTTGAGCATGCAATCAATTGGTGCTTTTTTTGCAGAATATTCTTGATTGTTCTTTTGGCAAATGGAATCAGTAAAACAGATTCATCCTCACATAACTATAAGACATTCTGTTACCATATTATATATTGAGGGTTCCTATGTAGAGTTCAACATTTTGTCACCATATTATATTCTTGATGGTTCATCGATTTGGACTTCTTCTTTCCTAATGATTTTGTTCAGGTCCAAAGTTCCAGTCAATGGTCAAGAATCAGTTTGTAGAGTTGATAAACAAGACAGAATTAGGTTTTCTGTTGCCAATTAGATGAGTATATTAATCTAATTTGCATATGTCTCCCACGGAATCTTGCTAAACCAGCTAGTACTGTTAGATGATGTGAGTTTTTCTAACATGGATATATTCCAATGGTACTAAATTCTGGTGAAAAATGCTTTTAAGTGGTTAAATGAGGTTTTTATCATTTTTTACTTGGATTTTGTGCATTTTGACAGTTTTGATACATTTTCGTATTTTGGCTATAACTTGAGCTACAATGATCGGATTGAGATGATTCTTAAACCAATTTGAAGATAAGAGATAGATCTCAACTTTGGTAAAGACATCTGAATCCATAGTGAAGGTTTTCCAGGTCAAAAAACTGAATTACAGTAGCTAATTTCTATTGGTCGAAGCTGAAACAGGACAGTGAGCAGTCAAGCGTATTTCAGTCATTTCTCAGCCTACACAAATCCAAATGAGGTGATTCTTGATGCATTGGAAAGCTAACTCAAAGAGCTACAAGTTTTATGTTTTGGTCAAGAGCTAAATCAGCTTTTATCATCAAGAAAAGCTTAGTTGAAGTTGACGTAAAATCGGAGCAGAGCTGGAAATTGAACAAAAGTGCACCAAAATGTCACTGTAGCAATCTGGCCGGAACTTGGCCGGATTTATGGCCGGATTTCTGGCCGGATTGTGGTCAGAAAAGTCTGCTCTTTACGCGGAAAACTCAATTTCACCTCCACTAAGTCACACGTGATGCTAGACATGTGAGAAACATTCCCAGCTGTAAAATGGAGGTATAAACCTCACTTCTTGACCAACTTTCACCTTTATATAGCCAAAGTTTGCAAGATTGAAGGGAGAATAGAGAGACATACGGGAGAAACTTGGAGTGCAGAGATGTAGCTCTTGCACTTTCTGAGTAGTAGAATAGTTTAGTTTAGTTTAGAATATTGTAGCTCTTCCATTCTTGTATATTAGCTAGATTAGGATGAAAATGAAGATAAAGAAGGAGGAGTTGAAGCTCATGTGACAAGGGTTATCTCTTTTCCAACTCTTTATCTTTTGTATTGGATTCTAAGTTTAGTTGATATGCAAGTTCTGGATTTTGTGTTCAATATATGTCTCTAAAGTTTATACCTTGGGTTTGGTTGAACTTTCTATAATTGTTAGTGTTTATTATTTGGTTATTTGATTGCTATGAGTTGAGCAAGTTATTTAGCACTTTGGCTCTTTAAATCATGATTAATCTAGTACCATTGATTGTGATTATCTAAGGTATTGTTTCTGCAATGAAAATTGAGATTTAACACTAGTTCAAGAAGTGCTAAACATAGGGAGTACACTCATGAAAGTAGAGGTGCACCTATGTGGTTTTTAGTGATTCATTTCATGTAATTTCACTGAAGAAATGAACTTATAGCTAATTTCATAACCATGAGAATATGTATGGATTAGTTATAAGTATAATTGATTCACTACGAAAGTAGGATTCAAATGCATAAGGAAATTACACCATAACTAGCCCAGATGTAGGACTCAATGATCCAAATATAGTACTTGTATGAGTAGTTAGGGATACCACAACCTAAGAAGCTTTTATTTGTTATTTTGTATAATTACAGTAGGTTAAATTTGTTATAATTCATTGATAATCTAAATAATAGAGAAGCTTTAGTAATACCGGTAATTGTTCACTCTTCCCTGTGAAATCGACCCGATATATACCCTAAACTACTAGTTGACCTATATACTTGCAGTGAAACAGGTGTAATTCGGTTTTTTTAACTTGTACGTATATTAAAATCCCGTCACTTATATGCAACTCTATTGGAGGTTTTGGGAGCTAATTAAACATTATGCAAATTTATGGATCATTGGATGTTTATTTTGCATTTTCAGTTTCTTTTATAGGATGCATATCTATTATGTTGAATTATTTGTGTAGTAACAGTTTTGAAGTACCCATGATCTCTAACTCTATTACCTGACTTGATAGGTTTCATGAATTTATTATTGTTTAAATATACTTAATGCAGTACAAATTATTAAAAACAACATGTGATGAATTTAAAAAGAATTGGGAAAATAATTGAAAGAATAGTATTATGACAAATTGTTTTTAGTGAATGAAATGATAATTTTGGAATTGTAAAAAGTTATAAGTGAAAGTCATTAAGTGATAAGGGTTTTAGTTGTCATATTGGAAATTAGGACAACACAGCCATGCAGGCATCCTTTTATAATTAGGAATAATGCTGTACACTTAACAGGGTAGAAAAAAGTGAAAAACAGAACCATATAAAGCAGTAGAAAGAAGTAAAAAAAAAAAAAAAAACAGATTTAGAGTATAAATCCTTGAAGGTAATGCCCTAAAAGATAGCAACATCCAATGAACAACACCATAAAAAACAGGGCTAAAGCATTTTAATTTATATTTCTTCATCTCTTAACGTGAGAAATGCCAATATGCAACCAGGCTTATTCAGCACACAACCAGTCTATTTGTAAGTAATGCCATCACAAAGTCCAAAGTCAGAAATGCCATTATCTAAGGATTGGCAGGCTAATTCAAATCATGAGCCAGTATAGCTTGCATAGCAGCTGATCAGAACAAAAAATCAGTTCATATCTTAAAAAAGAATGTCAAGCTTCCATGGAATTGACCTGGAAATGTGCAGATTTTGTTATTTGCAAGACAAAAGCATCCCTCTTGCTCAGATCTCATTGTCAGGTCATTGGATAACATGAAGGAAAAACATCTACTCGATCCAGAGCGGTTTGGAACTTGGTTCAGACATGCACCTTCAGAGTACAATTGCATGTAAATGGCACTAAAGGACTTAATTCAAACCAGTAGATTGAAGAAGAGAAAATTCTAAACAATCAAATATACACCTGTGGATATATTCCAATGGTACTAAATTCTGAAAATACATAAGAAGACCAACAAAAAACAAAAAAAAATCCACCCGTTGGTGTGTGACTTGTATACGCGTTTTTCTTTCGTGCCGGTAGACATTTAGATAGTTTATCTTTTTTTTTTTTGGGTCAAGTGTTCTCTATTCTAGTATGTTTAGTCAAAATATGTTTTTTATTCCCCCAATCCAAAGAGGATCAATAGTTGTCCCCAAATTGTCCCTTTAATTACTCAAATTTAAAATCTATCAGCTACAAATGAAATGTTTTATCAACAAAATTGGACTCAATTCTGAGTCAAAATATGTTTAACCAACAATTAATCCAGTTCTTAACATTGTCGCGCCCCATTTTTTTTGAAAAATAATAAAATAAATCTAATGTATTTAGGTATTAGAAAAATGTATTTTTTGATTTGAAAAATGAGTTCTTTATTTTATAGAATAAATAAAAGAAAAATGGCCTAAAATGGGGCTTGAAAAAATGTGATGATTTTGGCCCAAAATAAAAGTCTAAAAAGGGTTTTTTATGAAAAAAAGGAATCGCCATTTGGTATCGAATTTAAGTGTACCAAGTCACCTAAAATTGAATTTTAAATAAAAAAATAGATAAAACCCTTTTTAGATAACTTCAGGTCTTTGGAAACAAAAGAAATGGCTCGAAAGTCATGGTTGAAGCAAGGGAAGATAAGGATAAAATCCAAAATACCTTTTCGACCTAGCTAAGACTAGTTGCGAGTTTTAGTCGAAAAGTTTTTCTAATCTAACTTATAGACTTATCACGTTAGGATGCTTTTACATGGATGCAAAACGTAAATCTAGGAGGATATCGGAGGGTCGGAATATCTTTTCGAAGTTTAATTGGTGCCAATCGCATTAATTGCGACACACAAGAATGATTCTTTGAAGAGGTAAAAACCCAGAAAACAAATAACCAAAACCC